TCCCTGTACTAGTACCAACTCAAAATGGATCAAAATGAATCTTAATATCAGACCTGAAACTCCAAAGTTAGTATAGATATAGGCAAGACTTCCTCCGTAGAACCCAAGCTGCTCAGCAACTAAGAGAAAGGATGGACAAATGCGACTTCATAAAATTAAAAAGCTTCTGCACAACAAAAGAAATGGTCTGTAAACTGAAGAGACAACCCACAGAGTGGGAGAAAACATTTGCTAGCTATACATCAGACAAAGGACTGATAACCAGAATACACAGGGAGCTCAAAAAACTAAACTCTCCCAAAATCAATGAACCAATAAAGAAATGGGCAACAGGTCTAAACAACTTTTTCAAAAGAAGAAATTCAAATGGCCACATAACAAATGAAAAAATGGCCATAAAGGAAATGCAAATCAACACCACATTAAGATTCTACCTTACCCTGTTAGAATAGCTATCATCAAAAACAACCATCAACAACAGGTGTTGGTGAGGATGTGGGGAAAAAGGAACCTTAGTACACTGCTGGTGGGAATGCAAGCTAGTACAACCACTCTGGAAAACAATGGGAGACTTCTTAAAAAACTAAACATAGATCTGCCATATGATCCAGCAGTACCACTTTTGGGGATATACCACCCAGGTACCTTCAAACCCATGTTTATTGCAGCATTATTCACAATAGCCAAGATATGGAAACAGCCAAGATGCCCCACTAGTGACAAATGGATCAAGAAAATGTGGTATGTATACACAATAGAATTTTCCTCAGCTATGAAGAAGAATGAAATCTTATCATTCGCAAGTAAATGGATGGAACTGGAGAACATCATTCTGAGCGAGGTTAGCCAGGCTCAGAAGACCAAAAATCATATGTTCTCCCTCATATGTGGACTTTAGATCTAGGGTAAAGGCAGTAATGTTGTTGGACTTGGGTCACAAGGTAAGGGGAGAACACATACGGGTGGATTAAGCATAGGTAGGAAACCCAAACCTTGAAAGTGTTTGATGTCCCTGCTGCAGAGGAGCTAATACAGTAACCTTAAAGTGACAGAGGTCAATATGGGAAGGTGACCGGGAAGTAGTGAAGAGGTCAGGTAGAGATGAATCAAATCGGGTTGTAATACACTTGTGCATGGAAACAATGCTAGGAATCTCTTTGTATAGCTATCCTTATCCCAACTAGCAAAAATGCTTTGTCTTTCTTATTATTGCGTATGTTTACTCTTCAACAAAATTGGAGAAAAGGAAGAACAGGTTTTGCCTGGAAGCTAGGGGTTAGGGGGAGAGGGAGGGGATGGGGGCAGGGGAGAGAAATGACCCAAACAATGTATGTACATACGAATATATGAATAAAGAGAAAAAAAAGAAATATGGCAAGCAAAAAAAAGTATTTCATAAGAAAATCTAAATTATAATTTGAATGCCTTATAACTTGAACAAAGATGCTCCTTATGTGGCAGACACCTTGGAATAAAAATACAAACAGTGAAAATTAAAAAAAATACACATGGACTGCATCTCATGCATATAATTATAACAGAATGCATTGTGGGTAGGACCTGTGCAGTCAAAACTAAGTTATGCAATATCTTCCTGTCAATCGAACCTGTCAATCACCTTAGCCCCTCTTGCAAAGACAGCCCAGATTCTCCCCCCTACTTGAAAAAAGATCCAGGCTTCTCTGCTACCTAGTCACAGCCCACTGCTCTGTCTTGTGGTGTTTCTTCCAGTCCATACTTTTCTTTTTCCTACAATAAAATTCTATTACTGCTTTCAATCTGTGTCTCTGTCCAATGCTCTGTTTCCAGACTCAAGGTCCTGAGACCTTGTCAGCCAGGGTCATCTGAGACCACCTACTGGTAGCATTACTAGGGTGTGCTTCTGATTTAAAGTGTCTGACTAAGCACATGAATTCCAATCTCTCCAAAATTCCACTGAGTAAAATTTGGAAATATAAACAGCATGAACCTAAATCCATAAGGGTAAAATAATTTTAAAAGAAAGATATAAACATCCATAATATGGAAAGTAAAAGTGAGTCGGTCAATGAATGAAATAGAGAGGGAAAAAGTTTAACCCAGAAAGAACCGTGAGAAGACTGCAGTGGAAATGCGAGAGAAGAAAACTTAGTCCCTGGGACTCTGGAGGGGTTCTGGGTTGAAAAGAGAGAAGATATGATGGAGGGTAGGAGGGAGAACACAAGGAGATCATTCGATGGTCAGTATGTGGACAGACTACACCAGCCTTCCTCCTGCAGCTGTGCTGGTGTGAGAGGCACAGGAAACCTACCTTGCTCCAGGTATTATTTCTCACTAAATTTTAATGAACCAAGTGGGAATTCACAAGATTTCAGTGTGAGGAGTTGGCAGAGTTCAGCCATCTTCAAACTGGCATTAAGTTTACAGGAGAAGATGCCACTGAATTGCCAGTTGCCGCTCTGTCACCTACTAAGAAGCCTGCCCTTTCATGTGTGTGCCCACATGGCGGAACTGCTGGCCAGCCCCACTCATGAAGGGACCCTCTGGGGAATATGAGCTCAATAACACAACGAGTCTGTTCTTCCTCCTAGCATCTCATTGTTAGTATAAACTAAGAATGAAGTAAAGCTATCCATTCAGAAATATAGATGATGACATCTCTTTTACCTTTCAGGGAAGCCCAAAATTACCAACTATGAATCATCAGAGTCATTTCTCCTGGGTACAAATGTCAGACATAATCCTGGAATCATTCCCAAAAGAAACCAGGGTAATGACACTGGTTCCCTGGTCACTATTCTCAAAAACCTCTGAGACTTAGTTTTGAACAGAAATTCCTTATGCTTATTTAGAACTTTCATGTTTACAGTGTTTTAACTTAAATAATTTTAACTCTTTAAAATGGGTAAGAGCATTATGTCTACTCCATTAGGTGGGTGAAAAAATTGAAATTTAGAATATGGTAATTAGAGAGTCTATCGTTAATTGAGTGCTGCTCATGTGCAGTAAGAGTTCCATGTTAGCAGTGGACACTGTTTTGTGCTCAGCTTAGTCCCCCTTTCTCAGGCCAGTGTGGTCAATATCTAGCTGCATTAAGTGTTGGCTCCTTTCCACTCACAGTTGCCCTGACTCTATAAACTGAAAGCTGAATTTTATCAATGACAATGGACATCATTGTCTAGCAGGTTATACTTCTACCCAAAGAAAGGCCATAGCCAGTGATTTCAGTATTGTATTTTTCTGCACAAAAGTCATCAGACTGACCCCATTATCTCTGTGTGCAGTTCACATCCCAGTGCTCCCCATGAAATCAGGCTGAATTCAGACTCTGTGTGAACCACATCCACGCTTTGCCTTTCCTGTCTCAGCCTGTTTTCCATCATATCATGGGCAAAGAATTTCCAATTGAGGCTCTACTTTTAAGGAGTACATCATACGACAATGTGCAATCTCATTTAATTCTGAAACTAATCCTAGAAAAATATATAATAGAGCAGCCTAAGACCACATGGTCCATTGGTAACATCAAAGATGCCAAATCAACACCACAACCTGGGTTCTTTCAACAGTACCATGATTCCAGAAGGAACCCAGTCAAAATGGAGGTGAAATGTAACTGTCTTGATTTCCAAACAACTTTCTTCTCTTTGTTATCACCTTTTCCAATCTCTCTTCCATGAGGTGGAAATACTTGTTTAGGGTCTCAATTCTGCAGATCGAGAATTTAAGCAAATCCTGATTGTGTTGCATCCAGTTAGTCAGTAACTTTGTGAACAAAACTGAACAGAAATCTTAACTACTTATGTCCAAGTTTTTCTGACTTCCTGGACACATAAGCAACATCATGACTTAGACCAAAACTTCAGTTGTACGTTTTAAGCTGCTTTAATTTATTTTCCTGTATTTCAACTTACTGTCTGTTGCAAGGTCTATTCCCATCAAGCTGCAAATGTTTTTCCTGCACATGGCATTAGTGGCCTGGCAACTCCAGGAGTCAAGGAGGGGGACATTTATATCTCTTCAGTGTTTCCAACTCTCCTCAACAAAATTTACCAAAAGACTCTCAGTACCATGTGGTCATGATAGCTGATTCATGAAGGCCTTTACTCTCCAGAACAAAGCCTCTTTGTTCCTGAAACTATACTTTACCCCTTCTCAGAGATCCTTCTAAGAAATCAGGTATCACCAGGTTCTCATGTCCTGCTGGGGATGGGGTTCTCTGTGGCTGTGCTTCCCACATCTCTAGGCCACACTCCTCTGCACAGTATCAAGGCTCAGAACAGGAATTTTCAGCACTTCTCAGCTGTTACTTTTCTGATTTTTGTTACCTTTCTGATTTTTTATTTTTGCAGCTGTCTGAGTTTTTTTGTTTTAACCATCTCTCCCCTCTCACTCTAGTCCTTCCTTCTACCCATTAAATGTTTCCTTACCTAATTCAGGGGTGTGGTTTCATCTGAGAGTGGGGATGCAGTGGGAGATCTGTAAATAAAATAATTTATAAATAATTTTTCATAATAGATCTTTTATGACTCATTTCTTCCCTTTGCATTTCTTTTTTTTGCCATTCCATTGCTAGTAAAAAGGTATCAAATGTATTTAGATACTGCACGGAGAAGGGCAAGGTATATTAATAATTGAGGGATTATCTGTTATCATACTAGAACATTTTCTTTCATTTATAAAAAGCATAATAGAAGTAATCCCTTTGAATAAGCCTGTTTAAAACTGGATTGTACATCAAGATGCAATCACTAAATACATGCACCTTTTTGCATATCTAATATACTTCACTACTAAAAAAGAAAGAGGAAAGAAGCTTTTAGGAGCAATGTTTATGTGAATAGCATTGTTAATGGTGATATTTTTAGGGGCAGTTACTTATCTTCAAACTACTCAAGATTAAATGTGTACACTATTTTTGTCCATACCCAGTACAAATTTTAAAATTGGATTAAAAGAGAAAACTGGAAAGTATTTCAACCAGACCAATATTGTGTTTATATTTCCCTTAAAGGAAAATTTCAGAGCATCAAAATTCTTTCCCTGTCAATCAAACTATCTTGTATAATGCTCTTAATTCCTGTGGCATCTAGAGGACACCAGAATTTCTCTTCCTGGTGGTCTGTGCTCCACTTCAGGCCTTGCTCTCCCCCCCACCCCACGTTTGCATTCAGGCTGCAGGTGTCTGGGGAGCACTGTGTGCTCACTGTGCAGAGGTAGGTGGCTAAGTCACTGGGCTGGGAGCCTCTGATGTGCAGAGAAAAATATCGGCTGGCTTTGTTAAGATGTGCTGTGTATCTCCCTTCGTCTTTGTCGCCAATGGAGAATGTGGACACCAGCAGCTCAAGCCCTTTCCCAGGATACTGTCTGTACCACCTGAAGCTCTGAGAAGCACTGTCTCTGTAAGTGCAGTTGAGAGAGGCCATGGCTCCCTCTGCAACACTGAGGGATTCCGGATGCTGCTCCACCTCTTTCTGTTGGCTACTCACCCCTGTGCAGAAAGACAATGGTCAGACAAAGAACCAGGTTAGGTCGTGGACACTCACTCTACAAAATCTAAATTATCTTTTCACAGGCCTCACAGCCTCTCTTAGTGAGAGGGTAAAAACCTTCATGACTCTACTCAGAGGCCGGGAGCAACAATAATTTCCAACACTGTACTTTCTGTTCCCATAGAAATGCCCAACTCACAGCTCAACTGAAGACACAGGATCACTAGTACAGCACTCAAGGATCTCATCATTCTTTTCCCATGTTTCAATATGAGGACTCAGATTTAAAACCCTATAAAATGAGTCTCACTCAGACATTTCTAATTATTGTGCTTTAGAAAGCATAGAGACTCTGTTCTACCAATTAGAATAAAAAGAGTTTCTGTTCACCACCCCTACTACACTAGTAAGCCCCTCCTCTCCTCTCCTCTCTCATTTCTCTTCTCTCTGTCAGCCCACCTGCATGTGGGGTGAGTTTTCCTGGCATCCCTGAGGAAACACTGCCCTCTTGTGGTGGAGTGATAGTGATTAAAAAAGTATTCAAAACGCAGATTCTTAAGTGAACTTAAAAGTCTGGTGATCTAGTCATTTAAATGACACGTACCCATGTCAATGTGGGAGATGTGTATGTATGTGTGTGTGTTTTACCTCAAATGGCAGATCATTTCTGAGTAAGAGCAGTTATTTGCAAAGTCCAGTTTCCTGCACTGAACAAGCATTCATAAGATTTCTGTTGTAGAAATGGGTGAGGTGCTCTCAAAGCAAGGGATATTCATACTGCACAGCCCTTCTACATGTCAGGATACATAACCCATACACTCATCTCCATTTTTTTTGTGGTACTGGGGCTTGAACTCATGACCTACACCTTGAGCCACTCTGCCAGCCCAATTTTTTATGAAATGTTTTTCGAGATAGTGTCTCACAGAACTATTTGCCCAGGCTGGCTTTGAACTGTGATCCTTCTGATCTCGGCCTCCTGACTAGCTATGATTACAGGTGTAAGCCACCAGTGCCCAGCTCATCTCCAATTTTAAATGAAATCTCATGTAATTTTAAAGAATCTTTTTAAGACAGAATAGCTTAAAATCTGGGTTAACAGACAGGGTTCCTGCTCACAACCTAGATAACATGTACTTTTATTTTTATTTTTTATTAATGAATGTTTACATTATAAACTAATGGGATTTATTGTGACATTTTCATACATGCGTATAATGTACAATTAGCCTGCCATTCCACTTTCCCTTTCCCCTCTGCTGATCTCCTTCTTCCTTCCTAATAGCTCCCCTTCCACTTCCTCATCTTTCTTTTTCCTAGATTCCACATATGAGAGAACACACATGCTATTGACTTTCTGAGTGTTACTTGGTTTAATATGGTGATGTTCAGTTCTACCTTTCCTGCAGATGACATTGCTCCATTTTTTATACATAAATAATACTCCATTGTGCACATGTACTACACGTTCCTTATCCATTTGTCTGTTATTGAGCACTTGGAATAATTCCTACAGCCACAGTAAGCATGGGTTTGCAGGTATGTCTCTTGTATGTTGACCTTGATTCCTTTGAGTATAAATCCAGCAGTGGTACAGCTAGTTCACATGACAGATCTACTTTTAGTTTTATGAGGCACCAAAATACCCATTTCTATAGTAGCTGGACTAATTTTCATGCCTACAAACAGTGTACAAGGGTTCTTTTCCCCCAGATACTCACCAGCATTTGTTGCTTTTGTTTTCTTGATACAGCCATTCTGACTAATGTGAAATGGAATCTCAATGTACTTTTCATTTGGACAATGTTTTAAAATAGGGTTGGAACTAGAAGTGCTTGGAATTCTTCATTTCATTTTCCACCAATGACACACTTTACATAGGTTGGTGCAGTAGTAATAGAGTCAGCTCTAGCACTTATATGCAAAACAAAACCACCCATACCTGTTATTTTGTCTAATTTCTCTTATTACTGCCCTTCTCTTGATTAAAGCATAATATCTAGGGGTTGATATCTGAAAGTTAAGGATTCTCTTTGAAAGTTATTCTCTCTCACTCTCCCTCCTTTCCTTTCCCTTCCTCCTACCTCTCTTCTCTCTCTCTCTTTCCTCTATCCATCATAACCTAACCAAAAATTGGGTATACAGAGAAACAAACATAGGAAACTCATGTCCCTCTTTGTCATGGATTTTATGAACTTGCAGAAGCTGTTAGCTGGAGACCAGCTCTGAAGCTGTCTCTTTCCTGCTCAACAGCATTGAATCACTAACCACCAAAGAAGGACTGGTCAGAATCAGGCCTTTCCTACCATCAACTGCACAGGAAATAAAATGAAGGGGAAGAAAACAGTGAAATCCTTATCTCCAAGAGCTCATTGTATTTGACACAAATAACAGGAGCAATTTCTCAGTAATTGTGAAAAACTGAGGAGTGACAACAGAACACAACTGCAGCCACCACAGCCTTTGAGAATGAAGCATAAAGCCTTAAATACAAGATGTGTGCTTGAAGCACAGTCTTTGTAAAAATCACACCACTTGTAGATTTTGGAACAGAAAATAACATGCTGGCCACCCCAAGAGCCATGCTGGAAAAACAACAGAATTCAGGTACTTTAGGACAGTGTCATGACCATCATTCAAAAAGGAAAACCACCGCTCTCCCTACCATTTGTGCTGATCAGTCTTCATTCTCCACAGTAGTAAGTCTGTAGATATGCCTTGTGAACCACAAAATTCTGGAAAGCCTGTTCCTACTCAAAGACAATGTATTTTAAGGTAACTCCTACTGTAAATTGTACTAATTAGGGTCCAATTGAATTATGCAAATTGCATTAATTAAAAAAGCAAGAACGAGTGAGAGCTTTGTTTATATGGAAATCTATCCATGTCATTCCCTCTTCTGTTCACAACTATATTTTTACATCTGTTCTTATAATTACATAGAAAAAAATAAAACCATACATACAAAATACTGGCTTTCCATTTATCTATGAGATAATGACCAGTTTATTATTTTTGTATGTCTCCAATCTACTGCCTAGTGCCATGTCATTTCAGCCTGGATGACTCACCATAGGATTTCTTGTAGGGAAGGTCAAGAAATGATGAACACCATACATATTGCATATCTCCATTCATATTTTATTTTTCAAAAATACTTTGTGAAGATACAGGATCATTGGTTAAGAGTTTGTTTTCCTTTCAGCACTTTAGATACATTCCAGTGCCTTCTGCCTGTCAATTTTATTAAGGAACCCTTAAAGTGATTAGCCACTTCTGTCTTGCAGTTTTCAAGACTGTCACTTTGTCCTTGTCTTCAACAGTTGGATTACAATGTGTCTCAATGTGGATTTCTTCATCATTATTTTCTTGGTACATATTTAACTTGGACATACACATTCATGTCTTCCACCAAATTTAAGAAGTTTTTATTCATTGTTTCCTCATGCATTCTTTTACTTTTCCCTCTCCCTTACCCTTCTAAGATTGCTATTATACTTACTTCTGTACATTTGATAATCCCAAAACAGCCTCAGTTCACTTTGCTCTGCCTTTTTTCCCTTCACAAACTGGATAATGTCAATTTACCTATCCCCAAGTTTGAGGACTGCTTCTCTTAAATGCTCCAACGTGCTTTGGAATCACTGTTGTGAATTTATTTTGAAATTAAATTCTTCTGCCTAGTCATTTCCTCCCACTGATAGTGTTCTGGGTTATGTTACATACAGCAAGTCCTTCATAGTAGTCCTTCAAGGAAACACCAGACAGATCAACCAGTTAAGCACTATTCTTTGGTAACAAGGTTTGCTGTGCTTCCACCAGCACCAGAACTTATACTGGGAATGTGTGTTGCTATTTAAAAAGTATCTTTGAGCCAGTGATGGGGAGATGGGACAAAGGTAAGTTAAAATAACACAAAGTTTTTGTACTAGGTTTCAATTACCTTTCTCTTCTTTCAAGTGTTTTTTGGTTGCTGTAACATTACATGGTGTTTGGCAGGAGTGGGCTGGTTACTGTCTTACTGTTCTCTGTCTTGTTAGGCTAACCTTTCCATAGGTCCTTGGCTAGAGAGAGCAGGTTTTTCTTGGGGCTTATTGTCTGCACTCATAGACATTTGCAGGTTACTGCCTTCTTCAGGATCCACTGTGTTTATATGAAGCAAAGCAAAACTGAGGGAACTCACCAGTCTGTCATTCCTCTGGTCCCAAGTTCCTTAGTGTTCCTGGCCTCTTCTTTCTACCTTTGGGAGTATGATGTGATATTTTTACATATTGTCTAGGGCTTTACATGTATTTAGTATGAGGAGAAGAAAAAATATATAAGTATTGCACTTTCTAAAATTAGAAGGCATGAGCTTCTTTCTCTTTCCTCATCACTGTGGTTGGTATGTTCTCCTAGTAGTAACCACATCAGAATGGTAATAAAGTTGGAATCTAGTTCTTGCATTTGGATTCCCTAGATGGATGAACATGGTCCTAGATCATGAGGATAGCTACTATTTATCTGTGTTCATGTCTCTACTGTATTGAGGACCAGGAGGACCAGATGGTGAATATAATGGGTTTCTATAAATGTCCTATTGCCCTTTTTCCTTCTAGACTAAAGTTTTGGATGTGACTAAAGAAAAGGAAAGTAAAGGGGACACACTGATTTTGTGGCTGGTGGAGAAAAAGGAACAACCCTGCTACCTAGCAAATGAGAACCTTAGACCCTTGGAGACATAGAGGTGTGTTAATACAAAAGAATAATAGAAAAGAACAATATGTTCTGCTGGACCCAAGCAGCATTTGCAGCCATCAATGTGAGCTGCTGCTGATTTGTCACTCCCTCTCTACATCTCCTGAAAACAGGAAGCTAACATGAATATGGCCTTCTTTACCTATTCTGCTACAATGGCAACTTCCCAGCATAGATTATACTTTGTATCCTAGCTGTCTATTCTCTAGGACTTATTCAAAGATGACTGAATCTGGAATCATAGGAGACATGACTTTGGTTAGTTCAGCAGGTTGGTTTAGAATTCAGTGGAAGTAACTTTGATTTAAATTGCTATTTAAATTGGAAAATATTTGTGTCAAGCCTCTATCAACCAGCATTACATGAGAATGGGTGGGTTGAAGTTATACTCACGAGAATATTTTGAGAACCACACACATTGTTGGCCAGAGTGGCTATTGTCTTTCAAAAAATTGTTTGTCTATGTTGAGTCTTTTTATTGGACATTAGAAACCAAACTTGATTACTGCGTGTTATTTTAAATAGGGAAGCCCCAAAGCGAGTTGCTTGGCTTATGACACATACTACTGCGGTAC